CAGTAGGTCATGGGACCTATGTTCCCTCCCTTTAAGAATTAAACAGTCCTTGTTTAATGATGTAGCAGAAGATTAATCAAGAGCTCCTTTTCTGTTCAAGATCAGTCAGAGAAGACTAAGTTTCTGACTGTGTTTCAAGTTCCAGAGAGAACTTGTCTCCACTTCCTCTCTGGGTTTGCCCACAGCAGATTACCATGTTGTGGTCCTCTTCCTCCAGCTTTCCCTCCCTCTAAATGGCATTCCCTTCGAAACATTGCTTATGGAGCGCTCTTCCTTCTCCCACACTGAGGAGTTGGGAAGTCAGAAGTTACCACCTACCAGACCTGTTCAACTCAGAAAGGGTGCTCTCTTCAGTCTCCGTGTATCTTCTTATATGTTTAATAGTTCACTTTAGGTTCTGAGCTTTCATACTCTGTATAGCAAACTCCATCATGTTCCTAGCTCAGTTAAATTGATATATACATTTTGGCTCTCATTTCATTTAGCAACAAAAACATTGACTGAGCACCTCTTTTGAGCCATAAAATCCAGAGACAATCATGATGCAATTCTTTTTTATTTTTTCATTCATGACACAATTCTTACCTTCACGGTCCAGGGAGACAGACCAGTGAACAAGTAACAAGAATTCACCATACAGTGTGAAAATAGACGTATAAACAAAGGGCTGTGGTGGCTCAAGGAGGGAAAGGCTAATTCTGTCTGCAGGGTGACCACCATCTGAGTTTGCTTGGCATTGAGGGACATAAGACCTCCAGTGGTAAAACCCAGGACAGTCCCCAGAAGACCGAGGTGGTTGTTCACCATATCTATCTGGGAGAGTTGAGGAAGACTTTAAAAAGAAGATGCCATTTGAAATAGGAATGAAGAGGCAAATAGAAATTTCCCAGGCACTTAAGGGAATAGCACTTTAGGCAGATATGAAAGAGCATTTCTTATTATGGGAGTATGACTAATGGGCAATGAATAATAGGTGAGCTTTGGCCAATGTGTGTATGAATGTGGGGGTGGGCGAAGCAGGGCTCTAGGGTGAGAAGAGAACAGATGAGGACTGGAGACGGAGGCAGGAGCCGAATCATGGAGGACCTTATATGCCATGCTAAGGCATCTTTACTATGTCCTGTGTTTTCAAACAACTGTAGTGATCCCTTGATTCAAATTAAACCTTGCTTGGAAGCATAAATAAATAGAGAAAAAATATTTCTCTGATTGAAACACGTTTGTGAAGCAGTGTCCCAGAATCTCTACATCTACCTCCTCCTCCCATCTCTTTTTCCACGTAGCTATTATCAAGGGGAATTTGGGGGGTATAGCCTGAAAACCACATCTGTGGACCATAGGGAGCCACCAGAAATTTTTACGGCAGAAAAATGGATGCCATGATGAGATTTAGGATGAGATAGATTGTTAAAGAGGATGGACTGAAGAATAAAAAGGCTTGAGTAAGGAAAACCTATAGGGAGGCTGTCGTAACTGAGAGAAGTTTGGCCTTAAGCAAGGACTTCAGGGATAGAGGAAAGTGGATAGATCTGAAAGACATTTCTAAAGGTTGCAGGAACAGAAGCTACTAGACTGATTATAACAAGGGTTGGGGGAGGGGAAGGGTACTGGAGAAGGAGGAAAAGTCAAGTATGATTCTGTGGTTTCTTCCTCAAGGAGCAACCAACTATAAAGGAAATGTCTAGTCTAATTTCTTTTTTTTTAGTTGAGGTATAGTTGATGTACAATATCTAAGTTTCAGGTGTACAACATAGTGAGTCACAGTTTATACTCCATTTATAGTTCTTGTAAAAGATTGGGTACCTTCCCTGTGCTGTGCAATATATCCTTGTAGCTTGTTTATTTTATACATAGTAGTTTGTACCTCTTAATTCCCTACCCCTATATTGTCCCTCTTCCCTTCCCTCTCCCAACTGATAAACCTCTAGTTGGTTCTCTATATCCGTGATTCTGTTTCTGTTTTGTTATATTCATTAGTTTGTTTTACTTTTTAGATTCCACATATAAGTGATATCGTGCAGTATTTGTCTTTTTCTGAGTTGGTGGGTATTATGCTAAGTGAACTAAGTCTAATCTAATTTCTCAGCCAGCTCATTTTCTTTGAGTTTTCACTAACACAGATAAAACCAAAATGTGATCACTTACGCGTAGATCGATTTCCCTCAGTCTTTCTTTACATAAAGCTAAGACTTGACTTTGCTAGGAAGACCCTTTTTGCTGTGATTATTATATTGCCTACAACTGTATTAGTCTCTCATTAGGAGGGCAGTATGTAGCAATTTTCTTTTTTTTTTTTACAAAGGAAGTACACAGCTTACATACAAGTTTATTTTTAAGTTAATTATTTAGAACTCAGAGTGCATTTTCCCATAGAAGCAGCATCATGCATAGTGAGTAGGTTCCCAGGCCAGTCCACAAAGGCCAGTTTAGCCATAATATAACTGAAAGTGTGGATTTGTGCAATGGAAATTAGTTGGAAATAATACTGTTGCAATTATAACGAAAACAATAGTTGAAAAAGAAATCGTCTGGGTTTTTGTTTCCCTCAAGGGGTAGTACTTGATGAAAAGCATGTTTAATCCTAGGAAAACAAAGAGAACTAGATGAGAGGTTTTGTGTAAATTGGATGGCACAGCTTTTTAGATTTATTTTTTAAATAATGTTTTTGAGGGTTTTTTAAAAATAATAAAAGCAGTCATGTTCATTGTCAAAATTGTGGAAAATTGAAAAATACATTTGAAAAATTAAGTCACTAATAATCCTACCACCCAGAGAGAACCACTGTTAACTTGGTGGAGTCTTTCCTTTCAACCTGTTTCTCAGTACATGGATGGAAGAGAGGTGAGAAGGACTTGGGTAGAGATGTATACAGACTTGTGAGAAGCAAGATTATATGGAGTAGAATGTATTGGGCTAAGAATGGTCGAAGAAGGGTGAAACAGTGAGGCAGTATCACATGCAGACAGACTTAGGGAGAGTGCAAAGGGAGAAAAGAGATGTGTTTGTTGAGGACTGGGCTTGGCTACAGAGCAGAAAAAAGCAAAAACCGGATGGAGAGTTTGGCAGATTTGTGGCCAGCTGAAATAAGAGAGTTTTCGGAGGAGGCAGCAAATGTAATTTGCAGTAATCAATTTTCTTTTAAGAAGACAACAGAGATGGCTTGTGCGGACAGGGGCTTCAAGCATTAATCACTAAGCCCATTGCTTCATTACTTGGGTGAATGAAACTAGTTCTCAAAGTGTGGTCCTGAAACCAGCAGCTTCAGCATCAACGGGGAACTTGTTAGAATGCAAATTTCCAGGCCCCTCTGCAGATTTACTGATCAGAAGAAACTCTGGGCATGCCCCAGGACTCTGTGTTTTAACAAGCCCTCTAGGTGTTTCTAGTGCATGCTGTACGTTGACAGTCACTAGATTAAACCTTCTTAACCCTTTCTAAAGTACATTTGTGGAGGTGTCTGGGAAGGAGGAAAGATACCTCACCAGTGAATGAAAACTGGCCTGGGAAAAGACTTTGATAGAAATATTTTTAATAATAATATTAGGAGTCATGGTGGAAAAGAAGGATGGTAATTTTCTGCAAAGTCCAAGCAAGTTCAAGAGGGAGCATGTCTTCATAATAGTTAGGGGTCTGGTCATATAGGCAAACATAACCCTCGTGTCAGTACCTTGAAGAAAATTCCTACTTATCCTTCAGGACCCTGTTCAAATGCCAACCTCCTCCATGAAGCTTTCTCTGGGCTCTGGTGTGAATTGCTTTATCCTCCTATTTACTTAGCACTTGCTGTGTTCCCCTATTAGCTCTTGTCTCACTGTATTGTAGCTACCTGTAAGTCTCTCTCCTTCACTAAATTATGTCATCTTCAAAAGTAGGACATTCTGTTATTCATCTTTGAATCACCAGTGTCTAATATGATACCTCATACATAGTTAATGCTCTGGAATTGTTTCCTTAGAGGAGGCATGAAGAATGGCCAGCTTTTATGGCTGTCAAGAACCTTTGAAAGATGGGTTTACTTTTATGAATTGACCATGGTCCTGAGTCCAACTCTGTGCCTTGAAGGCTAGGGTCCTTGATTCTGTCAGCACACTGTGAGTTGACATCTCTCAGTGGTGGCCTCCTTACACAACAAAAGTCTCAGAAATATATCAGCAGCATATTACTTTACAGTAGGACACAAGATTACTGAAGTCAACTTTCCTCATATTTTCTCTTATTATAGGTAGATTTTTGTGGGAAGCCTAATTAAAATCTGTAGGGATACACCTGCCACAGGACAGAAGTACCTGAGTCCCTGGGCCCCCCAGGTTACTTCTCATCCAGGCACTGCCATTTTCTGATTCTTTGTACTTCTCTAATTCTACAAAGTAGTCCCTGGTCTGCTCACAAATATTCTTTGATCAAGATAAACATGTAGTAAATTACAATCATCTCTGCAACTGTGCCTTCCAGGGGTTATATGTATATCACCATGATTAGATATATGTGTGTTCCCCAATCCTTTAGTGACAGATTCACAGGCAAGTCCTTGGTTTAAGTTCCTAGGTGGCTAACACACGTTCATTCTACATGGATTTGTACTGGCTTAACTCTCAGAGGACCTTATAACCTTATTGCCAAGCTTTTGGGGGTGGGAAGCCCCACTGTCACCTCAGTTACTACTACCAAGAGTAATAATTTCTAAATGTTACAGAAACTTTGAAATTTATGTCAGTGTCATTCTCTAAAATAGAATTTTGAAGACCCAGGGTATAAACCAGAAGAAACTGGATTTAGGGGGGAGGGTGTAGCTCAGTGGTAGAGGGCATGCCTAGCACGCACAAGGTCCTGGGTTCCAGCCCCAGTACTTCCATTAAAATATAAATAAATAAATCAACCTAATTACCTCCCCCACCAAAAAAATTTTTTTAAAAAAGAAGAAACTGGATTTGTCTTCTGTGCTCACTCACGATCCTAACGTGTATGTGCTGAATAGATTTTTTCTAATGTTTTTCCTATAGGCATTATATCTGATAGCCACTAACGGAACCCCAGAGCTCCAGAATCCTGAGAGACTGTCTGCTGTATTCCGTGACTTTTTAAATCGCTGTCTTGAGATGGATGTGGATAGGCGAGGATCTGCCAAGGAGCTTTTGCAGGTGAAAATGAAACAGGACAATGACAAAGAGAGAGTCATTATATTGAGCTTTTCCATCTCAATGTGTGACAGTCAGAGAGCTCTGTCAAGAGATGTCTAGTTCAAGTTAGGCTCTAACCATTTGATTTGAGAGAGACCACAGGCACATAAGGATAGGCATGCATCTTCTACATGATTGATTGGCATGTTGCCTCTCTTCTGAGAAGTTGGCAGTTTAATCTGTAAATCTCTTTTGTTCTTCCTGGAGTCTTATTTTGCCAGGAAAAGAAAAACAATGTGAACCTCTGGTGTTGCTGTTTTGTTCTAAACTTTACTTGTGCCCCTGGATGTTGTATGCAGGTGCTCTTGGCCGGAGGTAATTCTCTACATAACTATGCAATTATTTCCATGGCATTTGCTACTCTAATGCTTTACTGGTCAAAGCCCCTTTGCTTGTGATGCCAAATGGCAGGCACCTGCTTGCCTGGGTGAGTACCATCCAGTGGTGAGTGCCTCTGTAACCATTTGTCCTTTTCATGGCTCTCAGGGACTAGTATATACAATGGTAATTAGTACCTACTTTGCACCAAATTCTTTACACACGTTCTCTCACTTTATTCTTACATCTCTCTAGGGTAGATGTTCTTATCCCATGTTACAGATGTAGAAGTTAAGGCTCACATGGCTATTGAGTGGCAGAACTTGGATTTGAGCCCTGAATTGTCTGACTTTCCACCACACAAACCAATTTAGAGGGGGAAAATGCATTTATATTGACAAAGCAATGCATGCCCAGGATTCCACATATACCTTCACTGCTGGGGCCTGTTCCTTGGGGAACAATATCAGGATTTGTAGTAGCAAAGCAAAGTGACTGCTTCTTCTCCCTGACTTTGAACACGTAATCTAGTTAGACAAAGGTGTAACACGGTTATACAGGATGTTGTGAACCATAGATTCAGTCTATTCTAGGCCCAACCACACAAAAGTTCCTGTTGCTTCTGAACTCCCTCCAGAGACAGAGAGCCACACTTAGGCAAACATCCTAACCCAAATCATACCTGGGATAAACCAATGGGGAGCAATTAGAGAGGCTACACCTTCTCTTTTCTGCTGCCCGTGAGCATTTCACAGGCTGTCGTGGACCCTAAAGTGTCAAATCTGAAATAGTCATTTATTAATCTTCTCATTGATCCAGCCTCAAATTATAGATGAGAAACTTGAACTTTTGAGTGCTTCACTTCCATATCTTTGCACCTCTCCCGCCACCCCACAGACACATCCTGCTACACATTGCTGTCAGGCCTTCCTCCAAGGATGAGTGCAGGTACAGGTTCTCTTAAGGTAGCTGTGTAGTCATATAGGTAGTTGAATCAATTATCTAGTTCATTCCTTCCCCAGCAGTACTTTGATCTGAACCAGTCAGATAACTGATGCAAAACTACTTTGAGAAAACTGAAGTTTGTTGCATCTCTTCACTTTGTACACATAGGCTATAAACTGTGTATCATCTCAAGTCCATATAACTCCATTCTCTGACTCTAGCCTATCACTGTTCATTTTAGAGGCTGGAAAGGAGAAAGCTACATGACATTCACAGAACTGAAAGGCTTGAGAAAAGACACAAATAAATTGATATTTGTTGAGCAACTTCTATGTGCGAGGCTTAAGTTCACAGTCTCCTTGGGAACATGAAAAAAAGTGCAAGATTGTTTAGAGACTCGGTCAAACCAAGTGGCTGTTCAAGCAGTAAGTGCCACAGGTTGATTAGAGAAATACTTCTATAGGCTATGGCATTCAGAAAATGCCTGCCAGCAGGGAAGAGTTTAGCTGGGCCTTGAAAGATATCAGTTTTAGATAGTTCGAGGATAAAGAGGGAAGGAATTTCAGATGGAAGGATTATCGCGTGACCATAAGCTTGTAGGCAAGGTTTAAGGGAACAGAAAATAGAAAGGGTAGCTGAAGTAAAAGAGTTCACGTAAGGAAGCTGCAGGAAATAGGACCATGGAGAACCTTGAACACCAGGCTGAGGAGCTGGGGCTGCAGGAAGTGGGGAAACACTGAAGATCTCTGCAGGACACACATGATGAAAGCTTTGTTTAGGAAGGTTAATCTGGTGGTATGCAATAAGAATTAGCAACAGAAAAAAATGGAGGCTGGAAGATCAAGGGAGAGTTATTGTTGTAATTCAGGATTAGGTTGATTAAGCTCAGGGAAAGCAAGCGATCGTTGTAAAAGGTGTTGAGAAGGAGGCACTTGGTAACTGATTGCGTGTAGAACAGAAGGGAGAAGAATACGAAAGTGACTCCGGAATATCACACCAGTGGTAGCATTCAGCAGAAGCAGAAGTCATAGAGGACAATACAAAGGCTAACATTTACTGGCCTCTGTGTAGCATACAAGGAACTGTCACTTACCTCATTTAACCATTGTAATAAGCAAAGGAATGGATTGAACCTAGGTGCTCTGACTCCAAAGCCCCTGTAGCTTACAGCACATAAGCGTACCCTGTCTGGGAGACTTAAATATACATTTTTAAATGTTGAATTCAAGGTGGCAGAAGGACATTCCAAACGAAATACCCAACAGGTAATTGGAGAAACAGAACCAGAGTTCAGGAAAGCAATCAGGTCACACGGCGTATATTTGGGAGTCATCCCCATAAAGTTGATGAGAGGTTGGCACCATGGAAAGAAATAAGCTCTCCAAGGAATTAAATTTGAAAAAGAAGATGATGAGAGCCAAGTTCTGGTAGATGGGAGGAGGACGTGGAACCAGAGAGGAAGATGGAGAGGGAGTAGTCAGGGATGATGCATGTGGAAGAGAACCAAGGCAGTAGAACTGGCCCCGGAGAGAACATGTCAAAGAAGGAAGGGCTATTCATTTGTATTGAGTACTGCAGAGAGGCCAAAAAAGAGATGGCAGAGGTACACTATTAGGTTCAACATTTTGGAAGCCATTGGTTTCAGGGTTAAGGTCATTAGTGGTCAGCAGAATACACGTTTTTCAAGCCTGAGAGCTGCTCCGGATAAATTCATCAGTTTAAGAAAAGCAGAACGTTAGACCTGCAAACACAGTAAGATTTTTACAAGACCCCTACTCTGAAGTTCTCACTCTGCCTGTCAGCTTCTAGAGGATGTCATGACACTGAAGAACAGAAACATCCGAAGGACAAAAGCTGGCACTATTTTTTAATGATGTTTAATTGGATCCACAAAATATATTTGAATGAAAAAAAAAAGGCTCCTTGAAAGGAGAAAGTAACATACGTGTTGGAGGCAAGAATTCCAGTAATTCCTCTTTTTCTTTCTTCCTTTTGCAGCATCCATTTTTAAAATTAGCCAAGCCTCTCTCCAGCCTGACTCCTCTGATTATCGCTGCAAAGGAAGCGATTAAGAACAGCAGCCGCTAGGACTGCAAGCCTTACCCCCTCCACCTCCCTCCCGAGTAAGGCTGAGGTAAAACTCCGCTGCAGGAAAGATGGAAGAAAAGACAGTCACATGGGGTGGGGCTTCTTTAACTTTCAAATGAATAGAAACTTCTTATAAGCCTTTTTCCTACTCCCTCAGATTATGTAATTTATTTGTAAGCCTGAATCGCAGCCCAAACAGGGCGGCAATGTCGAAGTGGCCATAAAGTGGTCACTTCCACCGTGAAGCGAAAGAGCCAGTAGTGAATCCCTTCATTTTGTGCATTCACTTTGAAGAAAAAGAGATTTCTCAAAGATGCACACTCCCTCTTCATCGTGTCGTGTTCGTTTTTAAGTTAGAGAGTAGTCCCTCTTGCATTCGAACCTCCTTCAAAACTCCTTACCCAATGTGATGTTTTTCACTTGCATTGTCATTAGCTGTCCAGAAAAAAAAAGATGTCAAAACGTTTTTTTAAAAAAAAGAAAGTAAAAAACAAAAACATAACAAAAAAACAAAAACAAAAACAAAACAAACAAACAAAAAAAAACCAGAGCAAGTACTGTGTGAACATGTGGAAGTCCATGCCCTAACAGAGTTGAAATTTTTTATTCTTCTTCTATAGTGGTGGCTTGGTTTGTGTACCTGTTTTTCTGCATTTGTATTGGAAAATGTTTCTTTTAAGACATTTTCCAAAAGCAGAGAGGAATATGTATGTTCAGGAAGGGCTTTTAAAAACTGTATATCTAAATAAAGTTCAAATGGTGAAATCTTATCACATTTTCATGATGCTGCTTAAGAGGTAGTTGATTTATCATTTGTAAACCAGCTCGTTCATCTCATGATACCTGAAAAAAGACACATCAAAACTGTGGCACTCCAATTGGGTGAGTCCAGGTCCTAAACCTAGGAAATCCTGATAGGAGAAACCATACTTAAACACAGCTGGGACTTTCTCTAAGAGCCGAAAGGAAAACAATCTAAGTGTGCAGTACTGAAATCCTTGCTGGATAGTAAGTAAACGAAGATTAAGATTCCGAATTTAATCCTCTCTTGTGCTTGTGGAACATATACACTGTGAAATCGGCACATCGGGAGGCAACAGACCCATTAACTGACATTTGCTGATGATAAGAATGATTAATCTTGACAATTTATAACGTTTTAAATAATTTTTAAAAGATCTGGAGAACAGAAATATTGTAAGCATTCAACTCTATAAGAAATGGGAGGAAAACTACATCCCGATCAACATTTGGCTTGAAGTATTTGTTCCCATTTTACCTGTGTATCACCAATTTCTGTCTCCAGAGGTGGTGTGATCATCCTTAGTTCTTTGGGCTTTTGAATTTCAAACACGTGTGTAAAGATTTTGAGGTTCTCCTGTGAACAGAATTTGGGTTTGCAGTCATATAGCCCAACTGAATTCCTTTTGGGACTTGGCGAAAATCTGAAAATTTGACTGTTATTTCACCATGTATCAGTTTATTAGGAATTTAACAGTTGGCACTTCCTGAATCTTCTGAGAGTAGAAAAACATCTGGAGGGTGTCTGCATAGAAAAGGATATGCTTCTCTTTCGAGTGTATTGTCAGTTTTATAAATTCTGCTGAGTTGTTTCTCTAAGCCTTTGAAAAGCTAGCAGTTCGTGCAGTAGCAGGTTTCTTGATCTATAGTATGTCAAGAATCTGAATAGAACCTATCTACATTCAGCAAGAGAGGGAAAGAGATCAATGACCTGGGCCTCTCTCCTTCTCTGCCGAGGCACATCCATCCATGTCATCATCTATCCATTCCTTAAAATGAAAGCACTTTCTTTAGAGAGTTTCTGCTAACCATACAGTGCACATGTTTATGTTCAGGAAATGACACCACTGGTGGATTTCCTATTTTCCTATTGTTTTCTTTGACTATGAAATTTGGATGGGGCTTAACCCTCACCCCCAGAAAATGTCCACAGTGAGATACAACAACAAATGTAAAAAGAAGATCGAACGGTAATATTAATTTGAAGCATACTATGTTATACGTCACAAAAATGGCTGGGCCTGAAATTTTTAATGCCATAGTGTTTTCTATAAGAGAGAGAGAGAGAGAGGCCTTAATTTTTATTTCTTTTAAAATTAAGTATTTTTTAAATTTTTCATTCATAGTGCCAGGGAATTCAATGAAATGATACCTGGGATGCAAACAGAATTCGGTCCATGGGTAACTAAGCCCTGCCAGTGGAGAGAGCCCCAACCCTGGTTGGGAAGCCCTAGGTGTCCGTTAGCATCCCTTGTATGTCATAAAGGCCCTTTTTTTGGTAGGGGGAGACCTGGAGCAGTGATCCTTCAGATTACTGTAAGTAGAGAAATGGCTGCTCTTCTATGCTTTCAATTCAGCATACTAACAAACGAGGGGCCCGGTACGTCTTTATCACATCCCGTTGTACCAAGATTTTATGAGACTATATACCCCAGTAGGCTTTACTCTTACAAACTTATATCTATGTAAACTTTAAAATGAGAACAGCTTCTAAAGACCCTTCCCCGTGTTGGAGAGTTATGTATATTTCTAATGAGTATTAGAGAGAAGCTGTTTCTCCTGCCAAAATGATGCTGAAGGATTCACATTTGGTACACTTGACCAAGTTGGACTCCAGATGGTTAATAGTTTATTCCCTTTCCCTGGATTTTTTTAAAGCTCATCTTGACACAGGTGAGTCTATCCGGATCTTTAAAAGTCGCTGGCGTGCCCTGAGATGATGAGGGTGCATCGTCGAATGTTGATTCCAAAATGTCCTGAGATAGGGGTAGGGCAGTGGGAAAGTCAGGGAAGGGTGAGAAGCACAGTAGAGATTATTTATTTAAGAAAGAAGAGAACATTAATGTTGTAGCAAGGATCCGGTACGTTGTCATAATCCCGTGAGGATTTTTGGATGATTAGATCCCCTCAAATCAGTCACCATGTTGGGTAATGACTTCGTTCTTGCTGATCTTGTCTTTGTGTCATTGTAAATATTTGTGTGTCCATGTTCCATTTTGGCTACTGGATGGCCAAGTCCTGTAAGAAGATTCAACTCAAGTATTTATTCTTTAATTGTGTTATTCAGATTTCTTTCAGGCTTGTGAATTGCAACCCAATGTTTGAGTTTAACCACCTGATCCCCCCATCTTTCCCTCCCCTGTGAAGCACATTCCATTGCTAAAAGAAAAAGAAATACAAAATTGCTTCCTGTCGTCTGTATAACTGTTTTGATAGTTTGAGATGTTTGTCTATAAAGGATATTTCTCAGCTCAAAGATCGTGTAAATAATTATATTCCTTTGCTCAATGGGTTGTTTATTTCTAATAGGGCTGCCAGTTCTCAGAGAGAATCTATAAAATCACTTTTAAATAACATAAGCAGAGATTACGACTATGTAGTAATAAGCGTGCATATGGACAAAGACTGGGAACACAGATAATTGAAATCAGTTGTGTTAGGGTGGTGGGATTATGTGAAATTTTTTTTCTGTTCACAATTTTCTTTGATGTTGTTATAATATTGCTTTATAATAAATAAACATCAGAAAGGGGACTATAGAAACATAGAAAAGACGCCGGAAGCAGACACCTTCTGGCCAGAGCCCAGAGCATGCAGGGCACAGATATTTGCTAGTTACAATTATTCCATAGGCTTTATATTTGCCTGGGTGCTGAGTTTGGCACACGCTCGGGCATGGCACGTGCTTTCTTAGGGGACTAGTATCTATAAGTTAAGGCTAGGGAGATGTTGCTATTAGAACTCCAAACACATCCTTCTGCTGTAAAACTGGCTGCCCCCCACTTTGGTATGGTATTGAGGTTTCTGTTTTGGTTACTTTAGATTGGAGGGCTGACCTTCGATTAGCCCCCTGGATAACATCTGTTTCAAGTATCACCTTTCTGGATCATTTTACTAGATTTTCAGGTTGAATTTTAGAAGAATAGAAGGCTAAGATTCCCCAGCCCCAGCCACTTCCTTGGCCAACAGGATGTAACATCATTCAGGTAGGATTTTCTTTTAATGACCAGTAGGCAAGTCCTGTTGATTTCAGAAGTTACGACTTGCACTTAAAAGCTGGCTGTGAAAACATTAAGACAAATATTTAGAACTGCCTTGGCCTGTTGGCATTCAGGCACCGTCCTTTTAGCTTTGGCCTGAGATGGTGGCCTCTATGTGCTTTCTGTCTTGCCTGATTATAGGTTGTACGCAGTAACTACCATCATTTTAAAAAAGGGAGACTAGCTACCCAGAGAGAGGAATTTCTTTCTAAGTCATCAAAGAAATTGTACGTGAGGGCTTTTATAAAGGGGTAGTGGCCTCAGATGTTCCGCAGTCTCACCGAGAGCAGACCTAATACCCAGAGAACCCACAGCCTTTTCTTTGGCCATTCTCAACATACATCTACTTTGGAGAGCCTTAGCCCTGCCATCCCCAGTTTTGAATCTCATGGTCCTTTTCTGAGCTACTCACAGTTAATATTTGGTTAAACAAAGGCATGGCCAGTGATGCAAGCTTCTCCCAGTCTCTGAGCAAGAAGACTGAAATTCAGCATTTGTAAACTGACAGTCTAATAGGCCTGGGATTTGGAGTGAACTTAACACACAATTCTGAACATATATTTGCATGTGGATTGGGAAGGAAATAAATGGGACCTTGGAAATAATGGAAATATTTTTCCTAAGAAAGAATTTTTTCATAAGAAGTTTGTTTCTGATATAATCTTTCTGTTGGTTAGCTTTCATGTTTTTTTTTTCACTCCTTTTCTCATCCCACAGTCCTTTAGTGACCAAATGAATATAACCTAACTCCTCATGCATCGGGAGAGTCTGTTTAATATTAAACAATGTCTAACTGAATCTGCAAATGCGGGAACTGAGATATCTCTTCCACGCGCACACTTCTGTGTTCAAGTAGACTCTAATAACAACAGGTAGCACTTACTGCCACGTAATGTAGTCACACTTGCAAGATAAACTGAGAGAGGCTGGTTAGTGCCATCAGGGTCTCCTTTGGAAGCTGCCATCAGGTGAGTGCTATCCCATAATACCAGCAATAAGGCAAGGTACCGTGTTCACCTGATTTAGGACCTAAGAGGAAACCAACAGCAATTAGAGAGAATTAGTCGGATGCAGTGGAAGAAGTACTAGCCCGGAAGTAAGGATACTTGGATTCCAATATAGGATCTATCACTAACTTACTGGGTGACCTTGGGCAAGTCACTTAACTATTTTGTGGCCATATCCTCATCTAGAAAATAAGGCTCTTGGACTGGTTCTGTAAGGCCTTTCCAAAGGCTCTAACATTCTGTGGTACTATAGGTTGCCTTGCAAATTCAACCTGCTAACGTGATGGCAAATATCACCTGCTTAAGCCTGGGTCTCTTATGTTGCAGTTAAACAATAGAACTAGGTACAATAATGCCAAAAAAAAAAAACCCTCAAGTACATGAAGTTAATAATACTAGGGAATGTTGATAAAACTTGTGGCAGCCTTCCAGTTTTTTCACAGTTGTTTTGTTGTTGTTTTAACGTCCTTTTTCTGTTGAGTGTTCCCATTTTCATCTTCCATACAGTCTGTATGTAAAGTCTGGGTTTCATTAAGCTGTGGCCAGTATTTGCTACTAGAACAGAGATACACTGTCACACTTGCTAGAGTAGAACTGTACTTGGGCCTCTCCGTTCCTCTGAAGCGGTGTTGGGCTTTCTAGAGTTTACTTCTTAAATGGCACAAGATGGCAGAACCCATGCATTTTAATGACTGGGACTACTGAGTGAGCCTGAGCACTTGCAGATTGCAGAGAGAAAAAGGGAAAGGTGATTACATGCTATTAGCATTAAGGAGTGTTGACATATCTACTTGTTGGGAACCAAAGATAGCATTTCTGATGACAACTCCCTGAGGGATGGGCCAGTTGGATGAGTATGCTACTGGGAAGAGGATAAACCGATAGTCAGTGGACAGTCCCAATGCCCTGCCTACAGCAATGCCAACCAGCCTTGAGTGTGAAATTCCGGTTCAGTGTGTGTGCTTGTGTGTGGTGTGCTTTATGGACCCGCATATACTATAGTCATTAGTGATGATGACATCTTTCATGGAACTCTATAACCATTAGTGGGTTGAATTTTAAATCTCAGTACATCAGCAAGGAGGAGACAGGTCACAGGGTAGTGATGTGTACTGGGATTATACTCATAATAGCCGGACAAAACCAGTTGAGGAGGATCTACATTTCATTTTTTATCAGAATTGTATCTCATTTGGCTGTGCATTACTTTTGTTGAAATGTGTTATCTGTAAACCCATGTGTAGTGAAATTCTTCTGTAACTTTGGATTAAAGGTATTTATGGTCTTTTTGTTTGTTTGATTTTTTTCAGTAAGTTATTTCTTTTGTGGACCTGCTGATGGTATGGTTCCATCCTTCTGACCTCAGCATTCGATCTTTTTGAGGACTTTTGTTTCCAATACTGTTATTTTAAATTGTGGTTGAAGCAATAGAAAATTGAAATATGGATTGTGCATGACTGTGTCTTGAGTGTAAAAATATTGCAGTTTGAAACTTGGACCTAAAGTATTGCAAATAAAAATGACAAACATCAATGAGCTAGTGCTTCTCTCTTCTGTCACCTTTCCAGCTACCCGCTTGGCATCAGACATTTACCTGCTTCACAGGTTGGAGAGTAGCATTCTCTCCCAAGTATCGATGCAGGGAAGTGTCTGGCCTTGTAAGCAATACAGGCAATGTCCTGCAGACCCCACCACTAAACAACTCAGACCCAGAGTCACCATCTGGTTTTTACATGGAATAGCTCAGAGAGACGATTGTGTATACTCGATGCAGGGCAAAAGCCTGGCAGATCCAAGAGGTCATGAAGGAAATCTGCCCAAAGAAACCATATGTGATAAATAATTTGTGTTTGCTCATCCTTCTGCTAGGAAAATTCTGGAGTAAAGCCATCTGTGTAATGCTTAGCTTTTGTCTTATACCTGGTGTCAAGGGCCACAGGTCACAGGAGAGATTCCAAACCTACTTTACTGAGAACACTCATTCATTCATTCATTCATTCTTTCATTCCAAAAGGATTTATTGAGCTTATGTTATATGTTGGGCACTGTGGACGTTTCTGATAAAGATAACTTTTCTTTTAAAAACCACCTTCAAGTGTGACTAAATGACAGAAAAGTTCATTGAAAACTGCTCGATGCATGTACTGGAATCGGGTTTGTCAGACACTCTTTTGAGTCCTCAAGACCTAAGGTAAAAACACCAGAGATTTAGCAAACTAGAGGTTTGTTCCCCTAGTACTGCTTGTACAATGGGCATAGCCTTCCTTCTGGAGCATGTGTACATAATTTCATACCTTTGTGTAAGTGGATACCCAGTGGTACTGTATTCCCTTCAAAAGATTATGTATCTTACCAAATGCTATTGGGTGTTTTTTTTTTAGTTCACCGGATTTACATGCAAGCTTTATTCCCCTCATTGAATCTCTCCATGTTCAAAGCAAAAGAGACATGTCTGCACATCGGAATGGTCATTTAAATGAGAATCCCAAGTAATTAGCCTTCAGCCAACTTCTCTACTGCCCACGTGTAGGAATTATGAGGTTACCTCTCCCACTAGCAGCCTCATATCCTAACTTTGACTGACAGGTTTCCTCCCACTATTTTTCTATCCCTGTTAAATTAAATAGAAATACTTTTTTATGTGTTAGCAAATTAGTAGTATCTTCCATCAGAAAATAAAATTTCAAAGACATTTCTATTTGTCATAACTCAGAGGAACAGTGTCCCAAACAATGATAAACGTCTCACTGCACAGCTCAGCCCTACTAGTTCAGCTGCTAGAACTCTAGCCTCATCTAAGTCCCCAACCCTCCTCCTCAAGTGGGGAGGGGTGACACCTGAGGTGCCTCACCCACCCTGGTTGTTCTCTACAGCCCATGGCGCCCTGGCCTCCAGACACTTGGGTGGCATCTGGTGGCTTTCCACATACCTGCGTCGAGCGCCCCTGCTGTCATTGCCTTCTGCTAATCCTGTACCAATGCCACCTTCCCTTGGCTGCTGTGCCACCCTACTTATCTATATCTTCAAAAGCCACACCAGTCCCCGGCACCAGTAGCCTCTGGGGTGACTCATCCACTTGTTTCCTAGTAGGGTACTTTTTACTTGCTTGTTTTTCCATACCTGACAACAAGAACCCTTCCCATGAAACCAACCAATTCTGTTACGTCTTTGGACCCATTTTGGTGGTTCTTGGTGGCACTTCACTGAAGCAAGGAACAAGAATGGTCTTCGTTTTCTCCTCTCCCTTCCTGGGGCTCCTCAGGTCAACCTGTGCATAGCCCCGCCCCTTTCAGGCCCACCACCTTCCACAGAAGTTAATCTGCAGAGTCAGCTGTAGCCATTACTTTATAAAGTCTCCATTTTCTCCCAAGCAGCCCTCCTTGGAATAAAAAGGAAATTGGCAGTTTGGCTCCATTCTACATGTACTTCAGTGTTTTCACTAGAGTACCCTCATCCTGTTTCCTAGAGGTATACATTCCCACAAAGTACGAAGCAACAGACTCTGTTACCATTGGGGGAAAATGGGTAAAGACTCACAGGGATCTCTCTGTATTAGTTCTTACAACTCCATGTGGATCTGTAATTATCTCAATAAAATTTCTAACAAGAAAAGCCACAAACTACATGATATATCAGAGGTCACAGCAAAGAGGTAGACTGCAGATTGGAGATCATGCCCCAGTCCACTTCCACCATCAACTACTAATTACCTTGGTATCAAGAAGTTCCTCCCTAACTTAATTCCACTTAGTTCACTAGTCTTGTCCATCTCAGTAAGACTTCCCACTTTCTCTTCAGGCACTTCTGAGGCCTCCCTGGGGAAGCCAGGAGCACAAATATAATTACTTATGAGTTCTTCCTTGTGGACATGGATTGATAGACCCCTCAGCCAACGGTGTCACACGAGAATAAAATTCATAGTGAGAAACAACTTAAATTCTACAAGTAAAACTGAATTGCCGTGCTTTAAAATACAGGATGAGGATGTTATGTTCCGAAAATGTTATACTACAGAATAAACCTCTTGATGTGTCCTGAGAGGCGCAGATTAAGAGCCCCACCATGCTTTCCACATTTTCTTTCTATACTCTTTTGAACAGACATTAGCAAGTGGTAGTTAAAATCCCCTTCATAGTTAAATGGATGTGTGACATAATTTCAAAACAATTTTAATCACACTTGAATGAGATAAAGTTACTCCTGTAGCATTCAAGTAGAGAGCAGGGATTACCAAACTAAGCTGTTCATTCCCCTCCAGGAAGATCTTAATCTCTGGTCTTATTGCTCCTTTGCCACTTTCAGCAATGATTTTTCTAATTTGTGGTGCATTGTGTTTGGGAAGCTGTTTTTCACCTAAAGCACAAGTGCCTGTGTCATCATCATCTGCTTTCAGGATACTTCTATCATAAGACTTGACTGTGGAAAAGACAATATTGTCCCAGTTTGCAGTTTAGAGTCTTCTAAGTCCTTTGAATAAATACTTTCTGGATTCCATATGTTACCATCAATCTCATCAACACCAACACATCTACCATCAAAATGATGCAGATACCACATTGTGGGCAGGCCCATATTATCAAAGCCCAAACAACGAAGGTTTTATTGCCCACCATCTCAAGAGTTTCTCATAAGAAGCTGCATTTGTGAATTTCTCAATTCTGTTGAAGTTATCTCTCCTATGACAGAGTTACGTGGATGCCACTTAGAATGATGTGTTTATCAATGACACAGACATGCGTATTAACACCAGAGTAGCCTGTGGTACCAGGATAACTATCTGTCATCTAGAGCATTTCCCTGTCATTAGTGCTCATAAGAGGATCAAAAACATTAGTTCCAGAATCAATGAAAACCTTTTTATTTAGCTCCACGGTACACACTTATGATTGTTTCTAACTTATCTGTATCATTTTGATGGTTATTAACACCTACCTTAGGCCCTCCTTCAAATGATGTATCAATCATAGCATTTTATAGATTATTAAAGAAGTCAAAGCCTTGACATCACCTATGCTAACATCTGTACTATAAAGGAGTCAATGTCGGGTGTGCAGGGCCTTTGCACTCTCTATGACCTTCTGGGAGCCACTGCTCCTCTGATGGGAAATGTGAGGCTCAGCACATGGCCACGGGTTTAATGATCCATAAGGTGCCCATACCCACTTCAGTTTGCCTCATTTCTCAGGTCTTCAGGTTTTCTACTAACTTTCCTTTCCCCATCTTGGTATCACACCTGAAGGAGGCTCCTCACCCCTCACCTACACACACGGTAATGAATCATTTCCAATCATGTTGTTCCCCATCATTGTTATGGTATCTGGCGACACCACCTACAGCCTCAGGAGCCAGGACAAGTACAAGTTTGGCTCCTCAGACTCTTAAGTGTTTAAGAAGTAAAGAAATGAACCCTGCCTGGAGGGGCACTTCCTTGGCTGGCCAGCATATGACTGGTGGCCCAGTGGCATTCCCTTAATTACCTACTGGCTGGAGTATACACTGTGGTCTACTGCAATAGGTTCACTCCATTTTTCTCCCTGCCCATAGACAAGGCAATCATTTTGGGCTCCCCAGGGAGGCCTCCGATTCCTCAGCATGGCTCAGCACCCCTGCATGCAGCTCGTCATCGTATTCCAACATTGCACGCATGCTTCTTCCACTCAGGGTTGCTGCAAAATGCCTGGGAGGGGGGCGGCAATCTGTATGTTTCTAGTAGTTTCTACTTTAGTCTAGCTATATACTATATCAGCTTCATAAATGTCCATACCCTCCACTTCTTTCCCCATAGAAGTCTCTGGGTAGTGGAGTTTCCCACCAAAAATAAAATCATGAGGGTAAAATCATCATTCCTAGTAGAATAGCAACCCAGCACCAAAAATGCTCTGTTCTGGCTCCCACCACCTCGTTTGCTCTTGCCTCAACTAGATTCGATCGTGTGCTGTCAACTCACTGGAAGCTCTTAAATTGTGGGTTACTCTTAGGCTGATATGGGTTTAAGAGTTTAGATTTGAGAGCTAGAACTGCATTTTACTTTCTTATCGAAGTGTTAGTTTCCATTATAAAAAGAGGATACCTATGAATTATGGGGTTGTGAAGAATGAAAAAGTTCACATATCAAGATGCTCATCCAGTCACATAGTAGGTACTCAATAAATGGTAGCTATTATTATTCTTATTAGCCTTTTAAAATATCCTGGCCAAATGGAATATCTTCAATAGTAGCCACTGCGCTGAATGAGTTTTGGCTGGCAATCCAAATGCAGGGAAGTGTTTCCTCTTCTATAATACAGTAGCCATTTTTAGAGATCTGGTCCTGTGTAGAACTGGACTACAAGGGTCCTAGTTAGTGAAGTGTGTAGACAGTGTGAGTATGCACCCCATTTTTTCCCCCATCTACATCCAAAAGCAAGAAATCTTTGCTAACACTGGTGGCTTCCATCTGGGGATAGCAACCAGTTATGTGCTCTGGATTGGTGAAAACTTGTGCTGCTCAAGGCAAGCCCGGGTCTCACATTTGTATTTCAAGTCCTCATCTA